CCCCCTCCCAAACATCAATGAAATTCCATCCCCAGTCACAAGGAGAAATGTTGTTTCCAATGCATTATGTGCAGACACTGTGAATTAAGGTATTGAAAATTGTAGATAAAATCATATAATACACCATAGAAGCATCAAATAAAGTATGGATATAAGATTAGTCTTTCAGACTGTGTTTTAGTGGGTGTGGATGTACCTATAAGAAGGTAACTACTGTAATTTACTCGTTTTGTGATCAAGTTTTTCTGCATCTGTTTATATTTTTTCCCTTTTTGATACTTATTTCTCTTTGCTAGTCACTTTTTTTCATATATGTTTAGACTTTTAAAAATTAATTGTAAAATTCTTTTTGGTGCTTTCTGCTTCAGTAAAATACAGACTATGTAAACAGATAAAAGAATCAATCTCAAAATGGTTTAATATTTTGATTTTTAAAATTAAAATATTTCAATATTTTTTGTGTTTAATTGCTATCATTAAACTACTCTCATGGTATTTGCTGTGCATCCTGACATTCAGTAGTATGTTGACTTCCAGAGTTTTCCGTAATGCCTTGAACATTGACAGAGATAAAAGGTGGATATTTTTTAAGGGAATAAAACTAAAGACAGGATGTGGTTATGTGTCTGAATTTATTATTTTACCAAGATTACATATTTTTCTTGTAAGCCTAGCAGGTAGACTAGGTTGTTTTCAGATCCTGACATGACTGAACACCATCATAACTCTAGAGATGCTGCTTGTGCAGGATTCATTGAACTTCAACTGTGCATGGCTGGTTGTCTTGTACGTGCTGGTTCTTCAAGCTGCTTGTTTGAGCAGGAGGGGCTGGTGCATTCCCTGGGAACACAGGCACTGGCTGCTGCTGGAATTTGCTGCCTTCCTTCCCAGGCAGCAGCAGGAGTTTCAATAACCAGACCCTACCCAGTGTGATGGGTGGCAGATAGGTGAGATGAATCCCACATTGGCTTGAGAGCAGCCAGTGAGTCACTCTGCACCTCTCCTTTTATTTAAAGAGTGTTGTAAGTGAGCTGACCTAAGGATGCAAATAAGGCAAGGCTTGTGTGGGAAGTAGTGTCATTTATTCGATCAAACTGATAGAAAAGAAGTAGCTGGGCTCTGTATGGATGTCTTTGTTCTCATCTCTTCTGTTTGAGTGTTTCTGACTCCTTTTTTCCCCCAGTTGTCTTACTTTGATTGAATACACTGGATACTCTAATCCCAACTACATACATTAGAAATACACTGCTGTAATTCAAAGAGTGTGTGTAGCAAAAGAATAGACCAATACCTCTTTGAAGTTCTTTGAGATGAGGATTCCTCGTCCCTTTATTTCCTTGCCAAATTCTTCAGGTCACACCTGATAGTTCTGCCTAGAAGTTGATAAAGTTAAGGTGAATGTTACTGAAAATGACTTGTTTTTCTAAACTGGTTTGCCCTTTTTTACTGCTTATTTCTTGCATGTGTGTAAACTAGCATATATAAACATAACTTTTTGAGTTTTTTGGAGGATCCAGCTAAACTACTGTTTACCTTCTCATGACAATTTTTTGAAAGATTAATATATTTTTTGGATATTTTGATTTAACAATTTAATAATTATCCTAGAGTCAAGGAAGAGTGATTCACGGAGTCTGGGCATCTTGCACAAGTTGTCAGTGAGGTGTGTTTTTTCTACAGGGGACTGACTTGTTCATTCAAGTCTATCAATGGAGTTGCATAATCCACCTCATTCAGCTCACAGCAATGATGCTCAAAAGAGCAAGGGAGGAACGATGACAGTCCTGTGTCTGCACTGTCACTGCTCTTGTGTTCTGCCTGTTCTCACGCCTACACCATGTTGCTCATCCCTCTAGTTTCAAAAATACCAGAGATTTCTGGGCGATCACACCCAACTTTGCTGTTGTTTACCTGCCTAACACCCTCAGCAGTATTCATACTTTCCACCACGCTGTTCAACTGTCTTCCCAATGATAATATTCTTTTACGTCCACTGCATTAATTTTCCTAGTGCTCTTGTAAACTCAGAACAGATTACGAGATTACGCAAGTTTTTCTCAAATGACTCACTGAATAATTTAACTGAAAATCTTTATTTGTCTTGTTCTGAAGCCAGGAGTGTGGTTTTGCTGCTACACAAATAGAGTCAGTCCTTCTGGGAGAGTCATGTTCCAGTGACTGCTCCCAAGCAGTCAAACTTTCTCATGATTTTCTAGAGCAATTGGAAAGCTCTTTGATATTATTCCATTAGGGATAAGAGAATTTCAGTGGAAATCACCTGATTTTCAGTTTCTTCTATTTTTCTGAGTTCTATGGACGTGTACAATTCTACATAACATCTATTAGGCAGATTGGGAAAAAAAAAATCAGTGAATTTCCTTTGCAACTAAAACCCCAGTTGTCTGGGTTTTTTTCCTCAAAAGGTGCTCTTCCTTCTTGCTCGTCTCCAGTTGAGAGCCAGCTTTTGTAAATCCTACACAAGAAAGATTTCTCTGTTATTTAGGTGGATTTACTTTGTAATGGTCTTAATATTTTTTATGTGTTCTTTTTCACTGCATCCAACATTTTGTTCTTTACAGATTCTACTATTCATCTGGCTCCAGGAGGAATATTTTCTTTTTATCAGATTTTTCTGGCTGACCATTCTGTTTTTTTAGTCAACCTTTTTTTGCTATTTTTTTCTCTGTTTCTCAGCTGAGCAGAATTAACTGCCAATAAACCAATATGTTTTTCTGTGATTCTTTAACTGAACTTGTCCTGTAATCCATATCTTCACCTGTCTGTGGCAAACTGTATTCAAGTTATTAAAAAGAAGAATTTTTCCTCTTTTGGATTCATAAGTATTATAGTTTCTGCAGGTATTTAATATCACTGTGTAAGGAAAGGTAGATGTGATACTTTTGTAAGGAGTTAAGTTATGTAAGAATATAATAACTTGGTTTAATTCAGAATTTTAGAAAAATTGTTTCACCTGAGAAAATTGCTTGGGGTGTTTTGTCTCTGCACATATTTTATATAGCATTTTAGTGCACCTGGCAGGGCTGAGCACCAAAGACAGCAAGGTACTAAACCAGCTGTATTGCTATAAACCAAAAGAAATTACATCTACAATGCCCAGAGAAATAATTTGCTGTATAATTTCCATGTGCATATCCACCATCTCTTTGGGATCTCTAAGAGAGGAATTATCCTGCTTTTTTCCTCGACAGATGTTGGAATGAAAGGCTAGGAGAACCTGGGCAAAGAGGGGAATCAAGTAAGAATTAAATCCTCCTCCTATGGTACATATAGGAAAACAGGAATAAATAAAAGCTTAAAATAAAATGAGATGGGGTGTTCTACACAGATTCAAATAAATACATGCAGAAAAAACCCTTTGTTCTCTATGGAAAGCCATGTGCCTTCAAAAAGAAAAAAAGGTCAGTTGAATAAAAGGTGCATCTTGTTCAGTTTCAAATATTACACATTTTAATCATTGGAGGATAATGTAAAAGTATTTCCGAAACAGACAATGCTGTTTGCAAGAGATATCAATGGACACCATTCTTTATCCCTGAGTAAAGGAAAAAAAACTATATGAGAAAATGCAAATTGAGGAACGTCAGATATGTTATAAGTTTCTTTTTGTGCAATTTCAGTGTATTTTTCTCCTCCTAGAATAACTTTGACTTCTTAGCCCTGCCTTTGGCCACATGGATTTATTTCAAATTCTTTCATGATAATGCTTTTGTTTGGCATGTTTGCCTTTGTTCTCTATCTAAGTACCAGCAAGGCCTGTTCTCAAGATGGAAAAAACAGAAAAGTATTCTTTTTGCAGCATCTCTGAACAATTTCTGCAACTTTATCTATGCAGTGTTTGCAAATGGAACTGCTACCTCTAAGAATAAATCTAATGTGGATGTATAGGCTTTCAGGTGGTATGGACAGCATCTTTCTGAAAATTTATTCTCATTTATGTAGGTTTGGAAAGGACTTTCTCATTTGTTTCCTGTATACAGAGATGTTCACAATATCTTATCCTTGATATTGTTATTTAGCATCAAACACCTCATACCAAATAAAACCAGGATGTATTTTTGGTAACTGAGGAACAGCAGGTCCTGAAGGGTTTAAAATAAATGACATATGATACCAAGAATAGCCCAGTGCAACTTAGCCAACCTGAGAAACTATTCAATGAGCAAAACAAAATGGAGGGCACCTCTATACTCCATTCTTTCACTAACATTTATTTTGCCATTTTTGCTTTGTTTTGCTTCAAGCTTTTAATTAAGATTTCCTTGGCTTTGCTGACCCATTTCTATATTGTAAAAGGCAACAGAAAAGAAGCTGCCAGGATAGCAGAAGAGATCTATGGAATAGTCCCAGGTAAAGTAAAAATATGGACTCTAACATTTAAGTGTTTATTTGCCACATTTTTGTAACTTGAGGATTTAAATCAGCGAGTCACCATGAAATGAGGGATTTTTTGCTAAATTCAGGGGTAAATGGTTTAACCTGAAGTGCCTCCCATTTCTGGGGTCTCTGCAGTGTCAGTATGTGTTGGCATAGTTTAGGTGTGCAAAATAAGAGATTCCAACAATTACCCAGCTAGAATGAGGACAACAGTTGGTCAATGCATCATGGTAAATAAAAATACTGTTCTCAGATACAAGGTGTTCTTTATCAGTGATTACAGATGGTTTTGCTAAACATCCAGTTTTACTGCCAGAGAATATTTAGGGAAAAGTTTTAGTGCATTGATTTTCTGAAAGGAGATGCTAAGAGGTTATAACTAATGACTTTATGAATCCAAGCCAAGAATCCTTGTTTTGTTAAATCAGATTATAAAAATGAATGCAGTTAAAATTTTTCTGAAAAATACACAGCACAATAATATGTTGTATTTCATAGGTTAGTTAGCAGGTCATGGTTTTGTTTTTATCCTTTTGATTTTAATCCTTCACATCACTGCCATAATAATGAATATGCATGGGTTTGTATTCCTGTTAATTCCACTAATTAAAATGACACAGCATTTTAAATTTACTGCTAATGAGGGCTTATTTTCCTAGCTGAAGATTCTGATCAGCATTGTGACATCACACATTTCTATGTGATTCATTTGTTGGGCATTTGCTTCATGATTGTGCCATGGTGAACAGGCACAGGAATGGCATCACAACACAGATGGTGTGGGATGGCCACCCAAAGCAGGGAGATTCAGATCTGGCCAAGAGAAATACTGCAGCCAAGCATTTTTGACAAAGCCTTTACGAAGCCTGTATATGTACAGGCATGTCTTGCTTATTAATTTATTTTTTATTCTCTAGAATATAATTCCAGTCATTTGTTGCTGTTGCTTTGTTTCCAAGCACCTTTATGCCATCATAGTCTGACATGTGGTGAACAGCAGTTTTTCCTTCAAGCAGGTTCTTATTGAGGTGCCTTGAAATTCAGCAGGCCATAACATATTTTTATCTGCAAGTTGCCATTTGCAGAAAGCCATTAAGGATAATCTTACAAAATGTAAGATCATGTGATGTGGTTGCTGGGGCAGTATATCATATTACAGCCAGAGCTTCACAACCTTTTCTCTTTGCGGTGAAGTAGCAGGGCTGCATAATTTATCTGTAGGCATTTAAAAAGAGCACTTGCAGGCATGTCACTCCCGGCTGAGCAGGGGAGATGTGCTCCCTATGGGAACTATATTTGCCACACGTTTCAGGGAGGTAGGTTGTGGTGGCTGGCGTGGGAGGGTGCAGCCGTGTGTCTTGTCCTGAGGCTGTGTGTGCATCCACATGCATTGGAAATGCCCTGGAAATGCATGTGAGAACACGCACTCGCACGAGTTATACTCTGCATAAAAGGTTAAATAAGGCCCTGTAGCTCTGTTGTCTGAGTAAGTCCTGAATCTTGCTGTGTAAGGGCTCTGGGCTTTGTCACTTGCAGCATCTTCTGACTCTTTGAACCAAGCTTGCCTGTTTCAGTCACCAGCATGATGAGAGGCGTGGGGTATTTGGGAGGTTTTCAGGAAGACGTTTCTTGGTCCCTACATGGTCCCTCTTTCCATCATGCTTCCATCCCTGTTTCCTGATGTGTCATTCAAAGCCTTGCCATATATTGTGCCAGCTGGTCTTTCCATGCCAGTTTCCTGCCTTAGGAGCCCAGGAAGTGCTTTGTAAATCAATAGAAACAAAAGTAAACACTATATTTAAAACTGTAACACCAACAGCCGAAGTGCGTCCTGGTCCTTGGGTAACAAAAGGAGATTCCTTTGGCCAAGGGTAAAACCTCTACTGTGTCCTTGGCCTCAAGGCCCTGTGGATGTGTCCATGCCTCTCATTGATTTCTCCCTGCCTTGGGTAGCATGTGAAATGGAGATAAATCACCCTTTCCATTCTCTCTGGTGTGCAGCATAGCTGAAAAAATTAAACAGGACAAGGGTTTCAAATACAGTGCCCATGGGTTTGCTGTACAACAGAGCATGAATGTAAACACTGGTATTGCTTCTGTCCTGTGGCACTGGAAATGCAGCTGGCCTTTGGAGAAATACTTACTACACACTGTGTCACAGGATGGTTATAAATTTTAATATAGGGCAGGTAAATTTGATCTTTATTTAAATGGCAGGGATTTAACCTGGGCTGAATGTCTATGCCTGTAGGTAGTAGCTAGGCTAAAGAATTTTTTTTCTTGGTATATAAATAAATTAGGATAAGCAAAAGGGCAATCAAGGCCTACGTGAAGGAGTCTTAACAGTTCAGCATATCAAAATTATTAAAGAAGAAAAGTAAAGCCTTCAGGCAGAATTTGTTTTTCCTTGTATTTTCTAAAATATTTCAGTGAAGAGAATGATTAGACCTGTTACATGGTAGTCTGAGAGGGAGGATATTATTTATGAAATTGTCAGTGCAGGAAATAAAACTGCCAAGGACAAGCCAGAATCCATTTGATGGACAAGTCAACCCTGCTATGAGGCTCTTAACAAAGAGTCAGAGAAACTGGGATGCAACTTGTGACAAAAGCTCCTGGGAAAAGGTGGAGGTTGACATGGTTTTGAGTAGGAGAACTGCAGGGTTCTGAAGTCTTCATGTGAGACCCAGCAGCACTAAACCAGTGATCTTTGCTGAAACATGTTTTTAACTGTTCTTTTAAAAGTTCTGCCAAGAAGCTTTTGTTTAGGTCCCTAAGTGATCCAGGATTTCTTATTCCTCAGCTGCTCTGCTGAAATTAATTAATCAGTTTCACCGCTAAGCCACATTGATTTCAGTCCTGATCTGCATTTACACGTGGCTGTGCTTCCCCTGTCCTCCCAAGATCTGCTCTTGCTCCATCCCTGAATTAGCTTCCGTGCATTTGCTGTTTCAGGCAGCTGGGCAGACCGATCCCCTCTTCATGATGCTGCCTTCCAGGGACGCCTTCTCTCTCTGAAAACCTTGATTGCACAGGTAAAAGCCCACAGGGAAAGAAAAGGCTGGGAAGCAAGGGGATTTCACATAAATTGCATTTATGGGCTGGTGAGATGGTAATAGACTGCAACAGGGCATAAGAAATATGGCTGTATGAATAATATATCAGCACAAACACCTCTGGGTATGTATTAGTTTGTTCAGTTAAGAAGCTAGGGACAAGCCTGGGACAAAGAATATCACACCTTGCAGCTTGCTATATAATAAACAATGATCCTTGTGCTCTTTCTCAGTGATGAACCATGCAACTAGGCTTGAGAATAGGGACAATAAATATGTATATGTAGGCTATTAAAAAAACCCCAAAACCAGTAAAAAGCTGTAAAAGTGCATCTTGCCTTTTATGAAGTCAGCCTGAAATTCTCTGCTCCAAAAGGAACTGAGAGCTCAGGCAAAAGGAAGAGAGGAGGAGAGAATACATGAGAAGGAAAAGAAGGTGGATATGAAACGAGGTTATGGTTCTTTGTGCTCTGCCAATCATCTTCCTTACCACCTTTGCTTAAACTCAGTGTCCGCATCTAGCATGAATAGGTAACTGTCCCCTTCTCCCTCTTGTCCCCAAGGCAACTGCAAGGAAATTAATTCCCTCACTATAAAGCTTTTGACTTGGCTATCAGACTTTTTACAGTCAAGGTAAATAATTTTTACCAGAGGCCACAGCTCTAATGGACAACATCCTCAAGGAGTGGAGCTGCCAGTGTGAAAGCCTCCTCTCCAGACATCTTTTGAGGCATAGCTGCAGCTAAAAGAGAATATTGTTTACAGACAGTATTTGCCCTTCCATTTTCTGATCCCTCTTTCCTTCACCTGCTGACATAAAGTGATTTTTATGGAAAAGGAAGTGATGGAGGTTAGAGATTAAAAGAAAGAGACTTTATTCATTTGGGGATTTGATGGTTTTCTGACCCCTCTATCTCCATTTATGCTGACCTTACACCACTTTGTGGAGCACCCAGTGTTGTGGTGGTTCACCAGACGCCCTGGTTATGCACTGCTCAGGGGTGTACACTGAGGAAGCACCCAGCAGTGTGGTTATATCATTTAGTTAATCCACCATTTCTCTTTTTCCTGAAGACATTTAATCTCGGGAGTAAAAGATGAAGGTCCTTGCTGATGAAAAGAGATCAGGGCAGCAATGTCTGTAGAGCCTGAATTGGAGCTGAGTCACCACAGATTGATAAATGCAGGGATTAAATTGTTCATGGAGCAGCATAATCGTTGCTCATTGCTTCCAATATTGTTATACTACTAGCCTGAAATGAAGTATGGGACTGTATTTGAGTATCTGTGGGACACTCAGAAGTCTCTGCTGCAGCACCATAGCTTTCAAGAAAGCCACTGAGGCTCTGGCTGCACAGGGAATGCCTGGACACAGGGAGGTGATGTAGTTCTGGAGTTTTCAAATGGCTCAAGAATTCACCAATGCCTGTTTCAATGCCTGAAGAGAGTTTGATTTTTCATGTACATTGAAAACCAGGTTTATCATGAGTGATGTTTGGCAAACAGCCATTGTAAGATCTACAACTTATTCTTCATTGCTGTTTTTCCCAAGATAACAGTGCTTATCTTTTACTTCACATGATTGAGTTTTATTTGTTAAATATATATATATATATATATATATATATATATATATATATATATGAATAATGATTGAGAATAGGTATCCTTATTAGGAGTATCTAGAAGGAATTAATCTTCGAGGAATATGCTGATCACAAAGTATGAAACAACCATACAATTAGAAAATGGAATAATCTCTATTTTTTCAAGCTTTTGTCTATTCTCCTAGCACCATTGTAATGCACGAGAAATTTTACCAGCAACTTCTACATTAATAATACTTTCACATGACTGAAAAAGATTGTTTTTCTATCATGTAATGCTTGGCCTGAAGTGTTTATAGTGCATTTAATACTCACAGCATCAGGACTCCTGCCTTTTTCACCATGTGAGGTTGCTCCCAGGTACTCCTTTCCGCCCATTACATTGGGTACTATGTACCAAAAAGTGCATTGCTGCCATCTTGTGAGCTGCCCTGTCTATAGCACATCAGGCAGACACCAACTGTGCTTCAAAATATGGCATCAAGAGGAAAATGGATCTGCTTCCAGGCCTGTTCTCACACATGGCTATAAAACTCTAATTACCAGGAGATTCAGTTGCATTCAGAGGAAAACACATATGACAACTGCTTTCCCCTTTGTGAATATGTCTGGTTTGTCTTTGTACAGGAATAGGCAACTGTGAATTAGGGAAATACCTGAAATAAGGCATTTGTAAATCACTGTTCTTTCTTCCAGCATAAAACATTTCCTGAATGGTCAGTTAAGAGGAACTGTGGGATTTGTGGGTGGGATTTGATTCATCTCTCTTATAGGTTTAACAAGTACTTATTACCTCTGAGTGAAACACACCTGGGCACCCCATGCAGTGAATGAAAGAACTCTTAGGATAGAATTTGTCTGCCCTACTGGAAACAGCGGCTTTAGCATGGGATGAAGCATATCCTAGGGAATCCTGTTTCTCCCCACTGAAGGAGCTGCCGGCTCCAGCTGAGCTGCAGATACCTGCAGATGCCAGAAGCATCCTCATTCAGGGAGGTGAGGTGAATCCCTCCAGCTGTAGCTCCTGGTGCAGGACTTAATAGGGAAGGGAATGTAAACCTTATAAGTTAAAGAAATGTGATGCCTTTCCTGCAATTAACAATGCATTGTAAAGAGCTAGAAATACAAGGCATAGCTTGCAATTGCTCCCTCTTTAACTCCAGTTTTACCACCAGTTGTGGCTTGTGGGGACAAGAAATCCCTGAACAGCACCAATCCAACCTGAGCCCTTTCCCTGGACACGCAGCTCTGCCATGGCTCCCCCTGCCACGGGCACCCTGCAGGAGCTGTGCTTCGGGCAGGGCTTTCCCCTCACACCCTGCTCCTGGCTGCAGGGTTTCAACGTGAACCTGGTGACCACAGACCGTGTGTCAGCTCTCCACGAGGCCTGCCTGGGTGGCCACGTGGCCTGTGCCAAGGTGCTGCTGGAAAATGGTGCCCAGGTAAGTCCTGGGGATGCCACTGGGGACGTGGGCACCTGGGAACGGACGCTCTCCGCATCAGCGGGGATGTTGGACGTGCTGTTCGTGTGTCAGGGCCAAGATGCAGGTGGACATCTCAGACAGAAATGTGGAAAAACGTAACAATGTTCTGTTTCCCTGGGTGATAGATTTGTCTCCCCCTTGTGTCATCCCTTTATTCTCTTTTGTTTTCCCTTTGTGTCTGAAACATAGTCACGATTGATGGAAAACGAATGAAAGATGCTAAGTGAAATAACCTTGAAGAAAGTAACTCACACCTTTACCCTCCCCCTCCCCCCTCAGCAGTGATCACTGGAATTACATCTGGTTTTCTGTGGGAAGGTTGGGAGTCTCATGTAAGTAAAAATGGATGCACTTGAAGCAATGAAATATTTTATCTGATAATAAAATAACAATTCCCACAGCTGGACCTAAGGCAGAGTACATGTTCACAGTAAAGATTAAGGAATGGATGAAATATCTAAGAATATTTTTATGTCAGCTGGGTTTTAAAGTAAAATTTATATGGCAAGAAACCCAGCAGCACCAAAACAGTCAAGAGACCTCCAGTGCCTCCAGCAGCTTCAGCCACACCTGCCTGATGACACTGGGAGGAGGTGAAGGCAGTGGAAATTTTACAAATTGGCATGTGTTTGCATAATCATTGCTCTTCTCCGGTGTGCCACAGAGTTAAAGACATGCAGATTTGCTTCATAAATTGGCCTTGAGGGCATGCTACGTAGTTAAACATAGCAAAAACAGGGATATGGTGTGATTCTTGGGGTGTCCTGCCCAAGGCCAGGAGTTGGACTCCATGACCCTGATGGTCCCTTCCAACCCAGCCTGCTCTGTGATTCTGTGATCTACAGCTCTGCTGTCCCAATGCAGAATGGCAACAGTGGCTCTTGCCAGGTCTTTACATCAGAGGTTGGGGAAGAAAATTTCTGTCTTGCATAGACACACATGCATACCAACTTCTTCAAGCTCCTTTTCTTTTTGGGATTATGTTTCTATGAAAATTTATTTTGCTGGAAATACATTTTCAGATGAAAGTATTAAACAGAGAGTAAATGTTTTCAATTAAAAAGCAAATCCATTTTTATTTGAGGGTATTCCACCTTGAGGCTGGTGCAAACTAAACAATGTTGAAGATACTCAGCTGCTTCACATAAAAAAAAAAAAACAAACACCAGAAAGAATAAAAAATTGCATTTCTTAGCAGCTCCAGCAGGAGCATTCAGAGCAGGCAGGGTTTCTGCCTTGTAGCACTATCTGGGAAAGAGGGCAGACATGGAAGGAGTATGTTATGTCACAACATATAACTCAGAAAGCTGTAAATAAATTAATTCCTGAAATTAAACAAGGCAAGAGTCTCACTCTGGTGCGCTTCTGGCATGCACAGGAGGCGCGTTGCGAGGGCGTTCCTGTCAAACCGGATTGTCCTGGTGCGTCTTCCACTGCAGGTCAACGCAGCCACCATCGATGGGGTCACTCCTCTGTTCAACGCCTGCTGCAGTGGCAGTGCTGCCTGTGTCACCATGCTGCTGGAATTCGGGGCCAAGGCGCAGCTGGGGAGCCACCTGCCCTCGCCCATCCACGAGGCCATCAAGAGAGGTGACGTGCTGGGTGTGAGGGGTGGGAGCGAAGCCAGCAATAACTACGTGACAAATGTGTCTCTTGTCATCCACAAAGCATTTTTTAAAAAAATTATTTCCATATCAGTGCAGATAAACAGGCTTGGCTTTTTCACAGCTCTTGTGCCTCACAGTTGCATCTGGGTGTGTTCTGCTCTGCAGTACTTCAGTGAAAGCTCTTCCCTCCACAGGTCACAGGGAGTGCATGGAGACCCTTCTGGCCCATGAGGTTGACATTGACCAAGAAGACCCACAGCATGGGACTCCTCTCTACATGGCCTGCACGTACCAGAGAGCAGAATGTGTCAAGAAGCTTTTGGAGCTAGGTACACCTGGAAAAGGGGCCAGGGGAGAGCCATGGTGGTGTGAGACAATGCCGCTGGTCTCTCTGAGCTGCCTCTATGCTTAAAACATCATGGGTTATTTCCACAGGAGTTGTTTAGGAGCGTGACTCTGTCAGACTTATTTGAGGCCATTAAATATTTCCCCTGTGTTGATAAAGAAATTATGATTTCCTAAGTGAAAAGCCTTCTTAATTACAGACACCTCCCTGACATCATCTAAATGTGAAAACAGAATTTTAGTTTTCTAGCATGATAACAGGAAGCACAGAAAATTCTGGCTAATATTACTGACCAAAATAAACTCTTGCTTAACATAGCAGTTTATCAGAACCATTAACTTCACTTCCTCCTCAGTGGATGATGAGGACAGCAGTAAAGCTGCTTGGAAGAATACTCACTGTAGGTGCAGGCACAGGCTATGAACTAGCATAAATTTTTGCTGTCAGTGTTCATTAGCTGACTTATACCTGCTCAAAGTGTGGCCCTGCTGTGCCCAGCCTGCCTGGGGCAAGCATTTTTCTTGCTGTGCTTCCAGACTCATTACAATGAGATACCTAAAGGTTTCTATTTTCTTTTTTCCCTGGTAATTAAATTAACATAATCCATGTTAGATTTTATGCCATTAACAACTTTAAAGAACATATGGTAGGCTTTGAACATGTTTTGGGTTGAAGGTCAGGCCGCTCAGTTCTCAGCAGAGCACTCTGCCAGAGCAGGTGTTTGACCTGATGAGGTTTGTGCAGCTGCTCTTGAGAGATGGGGCAGGTCCTGTGTGCCATCCATCCCCTTCATCTATTGAGGCTGCTGGTGGAAACCAGCCTGTGTGATGCAGGTTCAGACAGTCCCTGCTGCCCACCAGCTCTAACCACGAGCCCTTGTTCGCCCCAGGAGCCAATGTGAACGTGGGGAAGGGGTTGGACACCCCCCTGCACGCGGCAGCCAGGAAATCCAGCGTGGAGATCGTTGTCTTGCTGACAGACTACGGTGCTAACCCAAAATGCAGAAATGCTGACCTCAAATGTGCCCTGGATCTTGCCACGCCCCACAGCAAAGTGGAGCAGGCACTTCTGCTTCGGGAAGGTAATGCTTTCCTTTCTTCTCCTTTTTTAAGTAAAGCAGTATTTGTATCCTAAGTGTATTTCTTAACTGCTTTTATAAGTAATGCTCTACATAAATTCTCTTTCTCTGCTGCCTTCAAACCTCTAACACATGACATAGAAATCTGTTTTGTTGCTAGATCTGCCACCTGGTGCTATGGTTTTAGCTGGTAAATCAGCCAGTTATTCGGTGCTTTCTTTTCCTGTCTACTGAAGGAAAATCATACATATTTGCCTAATGAGACTCCTAGTGTTAAAAACTACCATGAAATAATATTTGAGTACCATCATCCAGTGTTCAGCCTTGCACCATGGCTTAAGGAGCGAGAGTGTCCTCAGTTGCCAGGAGAATGCAGAGCTCTTTGCCAGGTGACTCTTCAGCTTCACAGCTCTTCCATGTGGTTTATGGGGCTGCAATCCCAGCACAGACCAGCACTTTGCTGTTTACCTCCAGGCTTCCTGCAATTAATTATCTTTCCCATTTACTGGAAGAAGCCTCTGAGCAGAAATGAATCAGGATCCTCTTGTGCTGTTTTCACCTGCACAACTTTTGGCCAGAACTTGCTGCATCCAAGAGCATTATCCCTGTGCAATGGGTTTGCTGAATTAGTTTCTCCTCCTCTGATCTCTGTGCTTCCCAGCTCACTGGTGCCCTGTTAGTTGGTCTGTGTCCCCTGAGGCTTTTCTGACTCAGGGGGTGAATGGTGCTTCCCCCATGCAAGGCTTCTCACCTTCCTGAACCTGCTCACAACCCACCGAGGACCAAAGCATGATGTGCTCAAAAAGCCACTTCCAAACAACTCTTGCATGGTAACTTAATAAATGTCAGTGCTGCATATAGGCTTTGTTCCAACCCCCTGAACACAGGTAGGCTTTATGGAGGAAATGAAACATTGGCTTAATATCCTTCTGTTCTGTTCCCTTTCTCCATGACTTTTCATGCAGACCTTTAATTTGTCATGTCTAAAACCTTCTGGGAGAAATTTTGTTTGAATACTTCTCACCTTGTGTGACTTCTGTCCCCATACCTGAGTTGCCCAGAGCTCAGTGGCACATTGTGAGAGCAAACGCAGTGCTGCAAGTGTCCTCCTACCATTGCCCTGAGTGAATCGGAGTTAGTGTAGATAAAGAAATATTGTAATATTAATAATTTTCTCTTCCTGAACTTTCCTTTTGATTTCCACTCTCAGCTTGTCACCCTCTTCTCCCTTACAGTCAGAAAGGTTCTAAGGGCATTTCAGTTCCTGCTGACTCTTTGTTTTTCAGGCATGAAGTTTCCTCAGTTTCCTCACCTTTGGTCTCACTTTCAGATACTTTGCTGTGCTTAACATGCAGCTACTCTTTCCCCTGCTTCTCTGTTTTCTGAGGTCCTTCTCTTTCAAATAACTACCCCAGGCTAAAGAGTTTCTCTACCCCTAACTTCTCCACTGAGGTTACTTAGATGGGTCCCTTTAATTTCTCCTCTCACTAGCTATTAAGTGATGTGAAATATAAAATGTGTCCATTTTCCTAAGTGCTTTAGAAGATGGTAGTTTCTTTCTTCACTTGCAGTGACAGTAGTACAAATGTTCTTTTTTATATATCCCATATTTTTCTATTAATTCCTTCTCAGAGGGGATATTATCAGCCTGTTCAAGCTCCTAAATTTTCCCATGGCAAAAGCACAGATTATGAATCTTACCTGGAAGATAAAAGGACAGGCCTTTAGTCCACATCTCTACCTATTACTTGTCAAACTCTGCTGTGATTGCTACTGTGTGTACAGAAACTGGAGTGGAAGGGCACGAGAGGGTTCAAAAGCTGAGCACCTCTGGGCAGGTGTAAAGGTTGCACCTGGAGCAGCTCTGGTAAGAGGAAAGTGAAGGGGAGGCAGGGACACATTCACTAGCAGGGTGCATTTGCACATGCAAGCTTTTAGCTGCAGAAGCAATGGAACCTCATGTCCAGTGGGTTTGTGCCTGGCATGCCCCTCACCTGATCCATGGTTTGGTACGGTGGGGACAGCTCCCCATCATCCTGCAGGGGAAACTCTGGGCCAGCAGCTGCCCAGGATGAGTCCTCTGACAGCTTTCCAACCACTCAACCCTCTGATGTTAAACCAGAGTTCTCACATGCAGTAAGGGAAGGGCAAAAATCTCCCTTTCCTCCCTTCCTTCCCTTTCCTCCCTCCCTTCCCTTTCCTCCTCCCTTCCCTTTCCTCCCTCCCTTCCCTTTCCTCCCTCCCTTCCCTTTCCTCCCTTCCCTCCTCAATGTCTTTTTGAAAAAAAAAAAAAAAAATTGAAGACTATCTTTGAGACCTTTCTTCAAAAGTTTTCCCTTCAATCAGACTTAGCTAAACTTAAATGTCGCAGTAAGCAATGTTTTGAGGAGCACCGGTGGACTGGCTGAAAAACATAAATATTCTGAGACTATGGTCACGTAAAAAGGCTATATTGCAGTTACTACTGGTGCAGGTACCTGCTGAGACACCAGTAGTTGGAAAAAGCACGTTCTGTATATATGAAAAATTACCTGTACTTATCCTTTATCCTCACCAAACTGCTGGGGGTTATCTTACACCCTGAGCAAGGGCTATGCATTCCAGCGCTCTCTCTCCAGTGCAGACACTTTATGGTGTTTTAAGTGTTTGCTCAAGAAAAGATGGCAAACAGCCTAGCTATGCATACAGAGAAAGATGTTTAGTCTCACAGCTTTCAAATTGCTGAACCAGCTCTGACAACACAACTCTAACACAAACAATAATGCATCTAACTCTCTCTGACCTCAGCAAATCATTATGTAGTGCTTGGCCTGAGTTGCAAATCTTGCTGGTGTTTGTTGCTTTGACTCGTACTGTTGGTGGGTTTGAGGGTGCCTATTCTTGCCTCTTATCTCTCCCCCCAGGTCCTGCCAGCCTTGCCCAGCTGTGCAGGTTGTGCATCAGGAGGCATCTGGGTCGGCCGTGCCTGCACACAGTCCCCAGGCTGCACCTGCCGGAGCCACTGGAGAACTTTCTCCTCTATCGATGAGTCTGTGACTGCCTTGAGACTGGAAAAGAAGGAGGAACAAATGGTTGTTTACTCCAAGATTATTATATCAAAGAAAAAAAAAAATCAAAGGCATAATTTACCGTTCTCTGTGGCTACCAAATGCTGGCTGCTATGTGCCAGTGAAAGTTGAAAGCACCTTTTCACAGACAGTGAATGGTATTATGGACACAGTTCCCTCACAATCTATTGCCACATGGATTTAGACCAGCCTGAGAAGTTCCAGTATGTAAACAGCTCACTTGACACGTGTTTGTACGTGCATATGCACACGTCCACTCACCCACTTAGACACAGAGATTTCCCCTGCATTTAGGGCTATATTTATTTGTGCAGTATCTGTATCTGTGCAGCTTCTTCCCTTGGTCTATCCAATCTCAATGTCAAAATAAAGGCAGTGAATATTTTTCTTCCATTAGTATGTGAAAATGAAAACTTTCAGTGATGAACATCAGACGTATACACTACCCGCACATCTTTTATTAGCTTTGATTTTGTCTCCTTTCATCTCCTTCCTATTGTCTACTGGAGCCCTATCAATTTCCAGCAGTCTCTGGCTGTCCAGTCACTGTACATCCCTGATCCCTGAGCACAGCTATTCCCAATGCTAACACATCTTGTCCTTGGAGGTACAAGAAATGTTATGAAAGCAAATGCAGGGGTTTCGAGTAAACCCATAAAACTGTCTGAAAGTCTTAAAAAGCTCTTTCACCTCTTCCAGAAAAAAATCCTTCCAAAGTTATGTTACCTGAGATCCGGCTGTATTCATTACATGAACATTTTTTTCATAGCTTAATTCCATGACAGAACTGCAAATGTTTTTACATGCATAGTAGGTGATATTTCAATGCCCATCCTTTGCAAGGTTTAAAGAAAAGCAAAGGAAAGAGTGCTGCTTTTATTTTTTTGGCTTTGCATGCTTTGACATTTCTCAAGGTAAGTCTTTGGACTGTGGAGCTGGAGAGAAGCAGGGCCACTAAAGATGATTGTGCATCACCCAAATGTTGTCCTTGTTGAATTTTCCTCACCAGGAGTGGTTTGCAGGCTTGTGTGCTCCCTCACCTCCTACTCTAGAGGCTTTAATTACCTCCCCAGAAGAAAGGATTTTTTGAGTGTTATTAGTTTAAGTTTTGTGATATTAGTTTAAGTAATGTGAGGATTTGTAGCCTGGAAACAGCAGGGCTGAAAGCATATACCTCTTTGAGTTAAGAAATGTGGTGTACAGTGACACTTGCAATGCCTGTTTGACTTTGCAAAGATTTGTTTATTTTTCTGTTCTTCTGGGGAACAAAAAAAATTCTTCAGAGCCAAGTTTTGGTAAACTTCTGCCATGAGACAGGCAGTGGTGTTTCACTAGTTGTAGTAAAATGGCAAGCTGTCTCCATTTTGCTCAGCTTCACAGGTCCAAGAGGCTGCTGACACGTTTTCAGGCTGTGAAGTGTACTGGTTTCTTTATGAGTTAGGCATACTGGAACCAATTTTCCCTGCCCATACATCTTAAGTAGAGGGAATTGGCCTCCTGGAGTCTGGATATGGGACTGGCTTCCAACAGCATTCAAGCTCCTGTCCCTGCTCCAGCAGCAGCAGTCTCTGGTTCAATGCTAATAATCCCTTAATGTCACCCTGACAGTTTCTTTGAGATTAAGGTCTAATGTTTCCCATACTTCTTTATGATTAATTCAGCACGAGTAAGATAAATTGAGCTCTCAGCAGCTCATGAGACTGGACCTTCAGCATTACAGCCAAAAATGGATGCAGTTTTCAGACTGTGTTTGCACATATTGAATGTTATCTGATGGCAAGAGCTATTGCCCATGAAGTTTTCAGTGACATAAATGACCTTCTATGGTATAATACATCATGAATCTCAGATATTTGAACACTAAATTCTCAAGAGCTTTTGAAAATCAAATACTATCAAATAATAAATGTCTATATTAATCTGATGTCAGCAGATCTCTCTCAGTTCTATCTTTACTGCAAACTCACCTGCTCTGCTAATAAAGTGGCAGTGAGAATGCTATCTGCTCTCTAAACAGAGAGACAGAGCCTCAGCTGTATGAGTTGTCAGACTTGCACTGCAATCAGGGACTTAGGCAATTTATGGGATCTATTTCAAAATGTGTAATGCTGAATTGATTTCTTTCTGCCATCATCAATGAAAGCAGTATTTCACTTGCACCAGACTTTAAATTGAAAAAAAATGTATCTATATTAAGAAAATGCAAAGTCGACTCAGCCTCTCAGAAAGTTTTAGCTCAAGAAGCAGGAGAAGGTGTCCTATATTTATTCCTGATATTAACTTCCCTTCAAAAAATCACCTTACCTTTCCTTCTTCCTGGAGACTTACTTCTCTCTGAAATTCTGTATATCAGAGAGTTTGACAGCTTTAATAAATTAGACGAGAAGTTCAGAATTCCTGAGATTAAGAAATTTCATTAGAAACTTTACCTAGACTTTCTTGCTCTTAACTCAAATTATGAAGTTACCCATTAAATTCTCATTGGCTGTGCTTTGGGTCATAACAATGCATGAAAATACTGAGGAAATAGCCGGAGGAAGTATTTAATTTTTTTTTTTCAAAAATGCCATCTCATGTGAGGATAAGGAAAGACTGGGACAATTTTCTATGAGGCTATTGAGGTCTTGGTGATTTTTCAAAATTAGTTTGGAAAACATCTGTCAGGTGCTTTTCTGAAGGTAGTAGAAGGGAAACTAATCTCACAAGGTCTCTTTTCTTTAAAAAAAGTGGTGTCTTCTCTTTCATTCTGTGTTCATTGACTGAAATCGGTTGCTTGGGTAAGGTATGGTTTTCCTGGGGATACAGACATTTTTATGTGCTGGAATTCCTCTGCTGTATAGTGCTCTCTCAGTCTCTTGCCCAAAACCTGGCTCCACAGGTTTTCCTGTAGCTTGAGATTAATTTTCCCCAGAGTTTTCTCTGCAAGCATTCTGGCCAGTGGGCCACATCCTCGAGGACAAACACAGCCTGTGTGAGTACACATAGGCTGACACATGATTGGGAGGGCTTAATAAACAATATTTCTTAAGGTAGCTAGGAAAAGAAATTTCATTCTGATTTGACTCTGGAAAGATCTCTCTTTTGATCTCTTGACCAGCCTGTTGGGTTCAAGGTGACCTCTGTTCCTACAGAGGAACTCTGCTATTGGCATTTAACCATCCTTCATCCCCTCTAGGACTCAACTTTTCACAGAAGATCTATCAGTCCCTGAATTTCTGTCTGTCCAGCTGAATTTGTCATTCAGAGAGTGAAATAAAAAAGTGTAGGGAAATGCTAGACTGTTGAAATTTGTTGTTATACTGTAGGAACTGAAGTTCCCCTCATCTGCCTTGAGGTGCCAGCACCCCACCTTCCCAGGCAGATGCAGGCTGTGAGGGAGGCTGTCTGTCTGTCTGTCTGTCTGTCTGTCCAGCTGCGTGCTCTGCTCCCCTGATGGGACTTGCCTGTGCCACTCTGGGCAGTGAGATGGGAGGATCATCTCCTTCTGAGTCTGTCTTCCCCCAGGGAATTGAGCCTGCCCAACACCTCCTCAAGGTATTTAGATTTCTTCCCTCCACACATGTTAGACTTAAATGTTGTGCTGCCCCTGTGCAAAGCCCTGCAAACAGGGGCAGTGTCCCCTCAGTGCCACTCCCTGCCCTGCACTTGCTGCCAGCTCTGCAGCACAGGAGGCACAGGGGCTGCCCAGCACCCTTCTGTCCCAAGCCTGACCTGTCCTGCAGCACAACCCTGTTGCTGGCATTCAACACCCCTCCAGTCCTTATTGGATTGAAAATACCGGTGGTGTGTCCCAGCATGGCATTAGGGCAAGTCTGATAAGAATGAAAATTAAATACATTTGCTGACTCTTAGCCCAAAAATGTCTGACCTGTGTCCTGGAGTGATGGTTCCTGATGCCTTTGTGTAACTTTTTCAGAAATTACCATTTCTTACATGCCAGTTCCTCCTCACTGTGGTTTTTTTTTTGTTTTTTTTTTTTTTTTTTATGTTCTGCATGAGATGTATAATATATTATTGTCAAATACAGATTATTCCACACTGAGCTTCTACCTAATTTGATTTTTATTCCTTGAAAATTCCTTTATTTTAAAATTTTATACTATTTGTAGTATGGGGAATTTCTACTATTCCAGTATTTGCTGGATGGACAAGACAGTGGGGCATAGGCAAACATTAATAATAACTTCCTTTTCCAAGTGACAGAGGTGCCAGTGAGGAGAGCTGCTGTGCTGAACTTTGTTCTGCCCAACAAGGAAATGCCAGTGGGAAATGTGAAGCTCAGGGGAAGCCTTGGCTGCAGGAACCATGGAATGATGGAGTTCCTTAGGGTATCTGGAAATGTTCCAGGCTGGCTGGAGCTTTGAGCAACCTGGTCTAATGGAAGATTGGTACTAGATGGTCTTTAAGGTCTCTTGCAACCCAAACCATTCTGTGATTCTGCAAATTTTGCAACAAGCATCCTGCTATATTTTTAGCTGTTTGTTACAAGGAACTTGCTGGCAGTATACTTTTGTGGTGAATGGTTCATTTTTTGCCAGGTCTACCTGCTGGCTATAGAGGTTAACATGCCCCAACAAAAAAGAAATTAGACAGAATGGGAAGGGAAGGAGATGTAGAGATTTCCAGAGAAAACTTGTTCTAACTTTTATGTTTTGTCCTAGGAATGTGAGTGAAATGTGGGAGTTTTTGTCTTAGACTTATTCATTTTTATGTTGTCCATATAATTCTCCAGCTTCACAAACATTATTCCAATCTTTTTTAGGGTGGGGGTGGAAGGGGTAGTGCTCTCTGCACTTTTCTTGTTCTAGATGCTGACTAAATACCTATTTTACTCTGGTCACAATGAACAAATTGTTATGGACAGTGACAGTAGCCCTGAATTTCTTTGAATGTTGTTCTACGAATCCCCATGAGGGTGATTTTTTTTTTCATGTTTTCTGCATTAAAAACAAAAAAGTGTACTCATCAAACTATATAGAAATTAGTGATCCCTTTTCATTCTGTCTCTATTACAATGTAAGTACACTGAAATATTTTTAAGGGTATTGGCCAAGAGGGTCATCCTTTGCATATTATTTGTATCTCATTATCCTACGGGGAGATGTTTGCTCTTAGCTGTTTCAGAGGGTGAGTTCCTGCTGCCTGGAGCCTGATGTGTGCAAAAATACTTTTACTTTGTCCCAGCATCTTTGTGCCTTTCATTACTTAGTACCTGTTGAAGACCACTTATCCTCAAATATCTCAGAGTGGCTCCTACTTAATAAATGTGGTAATTTTTCTTTGCTACTTGTACATTCAGGGTAACTAGATATTTACAGCAAGATATATATATTAAACATGGCATCCTGAATAATTACAGTGACTGAGGAACACATTTTTTGGGTTGGG